GGCATGGTTGGTCAGACCGCCGCGCGCAAGGCGGCCGGCGTCATCCTACGCATGATTAAAGATGGAAAGATTGCCGGCCGCGCGGTTCTACTCGCCGGCCAGCCCGGCACCGGCAAGACCGCCATCGCCATGGGCATGGCCAAGTCCCTCGGCCTCGAAACCCCCTTTGCCATGATCGCAGCCAGTGAAATCTTCTCCCTCGAGATGTCCAAGACTGAGGCGCTCACCCAGGCCTTCCGTAAGGCCATCGGCGTGCGCATCAAGGAGGAGACCGAGGTTATCGAGGGCGAGGTCGTCGAGGTCCATATCGACCGCCCCGCAGCTGCCGGCGCCGCCTCCAAGACCGGGAAACTCACGCTGAAAACCACCGAAATGGAGACCGTTTACGACCTCGGCGCGAAGATGATTGAGGCGCTGGGGAAGGAGAAGGTGACCAGTGGCGATGTTATTGCGATTGATAAGGCCACCGGGAAGATTACCAAGCTCGGGAGGTCCTTTTCTAGGTCAAGGGACTTCGACGCTATGGGGCCGCAGGTGAAGTTCGTGCAGTGCCCTGATGGGGAGTTGCAGAAGAGAAAGGAGGTCGTGCATTGCGTCACCCTTCATGAGATTGATGTTATCAATAGCAGGTTGCTCACATTTCCTTTTTTCTTTTTCCTGGTTTTTCAGAATTTCTTGTTCTGGTTAAATAGTTGTAGTTAGGGTTGGCTATGAACTGAACCAATTTGAAATTTGATCGAGAATCCATTTGTTGAACTTTGTTTATGAACTAAATTAGCTGAACTTGTGTTTAAAATTGGGTTACCTAACTAAAGGAGCTAAATTTGAGTTTTGTATATCCATAGATACATATATGAGTTGTTCACCAGCTTGAATCGAGTCAAGCGATATGGAAAAGAGGTCTCATATTGAGTTAGAGCTGAGCTACGTGCCGAACGAATTCTTATGAAGTTGGGTTAAACTTGACTTGAATCATTTTCAACCCTAGTTAAATTAATGGTTTTATTTCTTTATGTTGTGAAAAATTAAGGGCATATGTGGCTACAATTGCAGTCGCACCCAAAAGCCCAATTCTAATCAAGTTGGGTTCAACTTGACTCACTCATTTTCAACCCAGTCAATATTTTATTTCTTAATGTCGTGAAAAATTAAAGGCAAATGTAGTTACAATTGTTGTTGCAATCGGGTTTTGGATGTGGCCAAGAAAACTCCCTGCTGCCAAAGAAATGATTGATAGACACTATGTTTTGAAATCCTTGCCAAGGTTTTAGAAAACACTAAGTAACAGTTACTGTTGAAATATCAAAGAATGCAACTAATCTGTGACCTAAGTTGTTTGTGGTTTTGTCACAAGTTTTTGACGTTGAAGGATATTGCAGTCAACAATAGAGCATGTGGTCGTGGATAGCCTAGAGATCTTTGGTGTTCAAAATTGGGGTTGATGTCTGTTTTTAAATCCTTCGTCATAGTTTGAGGAATCAATTATAATCTAGGCAGTAGCTACATCATGGGGCTGCAGAATTCTTCAAACTAGTCTCTGTTGTTAATCCTAACATTTATTTTAAAAAGTATCGCTATGTGCCTTTAATCTTAAGTTGTCAGATTACATCTTTGTATTTTGTGTGTTTTTCATGTTTTTTGATTCCCAATTTAATATGATCCTTGAGCCTGATTGGAATGTTTTATAATAATAATGTGAGGATTATATCGATGATTCTGATTTGTGGTGTGTAAGTAGATTTGGAATTATGAAGTTTTCAAGGGGGAAATGGATATTTTTTGCAGGGATCATTATATCCTCACTGAAGGAAATGCATGATTCTCTTTAATTAGTTTTTTGAATTGTGTTTAGTGGAATTGGTAGTGAAAGCTTTGATTCACAAGTGTTGTTTCCTTTTTTTCCCAAGTTTTAGTACATTCTAAACAGATACGGTGTTTCTAACTAAGTTTTGTTTGTGGATCATTTATGGTCTTTATTGAAGCAAGTACATTATTCTGTGTCAAGTTTGTTGAGACTTGTTAAGTGAAATTGTTGGTGAAAGCTTTGATTCATGCGTGTTGTGTGCTTTTCAATGATTAAATAGGTGCCATTTTCCACCAAGTTGTATTTTTTTCCCCGTATAGATAAAAGCTTTTGATTAAGTTTTCCAATTTATCTTTATGGCGTTATTAGCTGTTTAGCTCTGTCTTTGAATATATACTTGCTAATTAGGCTTCTAAATTACCTTAGTGGTTAACATTTCAGCTCTTCATATCATGTAATTCTGTTATGTTAATTACAGAACACAGGGATTTCTGGCACTCTTCACTGGTGATACAGGTGAAATTCGTGCAGAAGTCAGAGAGCAAATTGACACTAAAGTGGCAGAGTGGAGAGAAGAAGGAAAAGCAGAGATTGTCCCTGGTGTTCTTTTCATTGACGAGGTGCACATGCTTGACATAGAATGTTTTTCATTCCTGAATCGGGCTCTAGAGAATGAAATGGCTCCCATATTAGTTGTTGCTACCAACAGAGGCATCACAACTATTCGAGGCACTAATTACAAATCCCCTCATGGGATTCCCATTGATCTGCTGGATCGACTACTCATCATCTCTACTCAACCTTACACAGAGGATGAAATTCACAAGATTCTGGAAATCAGATGCCAAGAGGAAGAAGTAGAAATGACTGAAAGTGCAAAGCATTTGTTAACCAAAATAGGTGTAGAAACATCCTTGAGATATGCTATTCATCTAATCACAGCAGCTGCATTGGCATGCCAAAAGCGAAAGGGAAAGGCAGTGGACTTGGAAGATATAAATCGGGTTTACAATCTGTTTTTGGATGTGAAAAGATCAACTCAGTACCTAATGGAGTATCAAAGTCAGTACATGTTCAGTGATACAGGAGAAGCTGATGAAGATGAAACCAATGCCATGGTCTCTTAGTTATACAAACATCAGATAGAGAGTTTGTAAGTACCTGGTTAGTCTTTCTACAAGTTGCAGCAATTTGTTCTATGAAATCTGCTCATGAGTTTGCAACTTATATATTTTGAACACTAGAAGCTGTACCGAATTTCTGTTACTAATGAGCATTCCATCCTTATATTTTTGCTGTATCATGCATGCACAATCAGTAACAACAGAGAGTAGCTTTGACAGTCAGAAATTTATTAGACATGGTTATTGTAAGCAGTCAAAATATCGCAGATGGAAAAATTATATCTGCTTTCTTGGGTATATTTTGTGCCGTTGTCTTATTAAATTACAATTGGAGTTTTATTTTGGTATGGTCTTGTTAACTTCATAAATCACATCATAAAGGTTGGTTAGATAAAGTTGTAATTATAATTACAAATAATTGTTTTAAGGAATTACATGCTTATGATGGAAATGTCTTATTTTGATAATGTGTTTACACTAATCATAATTATAAAAACTGCGTCTTTCAATCTTGTTTTACAAGTTAATGGAAATATCATGTGTCTGACTACGGAGACGTAGTTTAGTTTTATGGTTATAAATTTTGAAAGGGGCTTCCTGTGTTTTCCTCTTCTAAATTTTTGCATGTGCAATTTGTGTTTTGAGGGATGAATTTATTTACAACCTAAATTGGTATGGTAAACATGCTATTGAGATTATATAAATATACACTTTCAGAGACCAAAACAAAATGAGTTATTATTCTGAAGACCAATACTTAGGAAAAAGTCTCATTCGACAAAATCCTAGTTTAGTTCAATCCCACAATTGTCTAGCAAACCAAACACACTCTTTACTCTTACGATTCGGCCACAGGATGGAGTGAAAAACAACTAGAAGCATCTGAAATGATATACCATATTGCAAAGAAACAGTGTACTTAGCAAATGTTGAAGTAAAAGCAAAGTGATGAACGAAATATACTTTTTTCTTTCTCAATTTGTTTTAACCCCTTTATTTGATTGAAAGCAAAGTTATTACGTTACATCAACAGTGAATTTTTGAAGCGTTTGATTCATAACTGTAATGATTATTTTCTGAATAAAATCACAGTGTTAATGTTATTGGTAGGTATTATTTGCACACTAGTTTTAGGCCACTTATATTTTTAAATATATTTTTGGCAAAATGCATATACCACAATCTTTCTAATCTAAGCCATAGAGATTAACTTTTATATTGAACTAATGCTGTTGTCTCCCTTTTGCAGTAACACAATTTAAAATTCTAAATATCATATTGGTGGCTTTGCGTAGGTTTGTGTTAATACCATTTCTTTACATGTGTATTATAAATCTTAAAGTTTTAAGGATATTTTTTAAATTTCTTATCAGAATTTGTTAGTATCAGCTTTTTATTTGGGAATAACTGGTTATTTGTCGAAATCTACCCAGTAAGTTTGCAATCTTCGTCAAAAGGATGGCAAAGTGGTACAAAAGATTACATTCTTCAATAATATATGTAAGTAAATGATGGAGGATATCATTTAAAAAAAATAAAGTGCCCCATGACCACTAAGTTGTGGGGTATGTGGTAGAATATATTAATGGAGATACACAAAAAGTAATTGATGGTAAATATTTTAACATGAAGGGTTTTTAAAAATATTATATTTCAAATAAGTCACATTGTCATTGCGGTTTAACCATAGCCACATTTGTAATGCCCAGGAGTAAAAGAAACCACCCATTGAATTAGGCTTTTATAATCAATAATTTATTTGCTTAAACAATCATTTTAAGAAATATGTCTGTAATTTAATTTAATATTATATAAATATAAATTTTGTTTTACCTTTACCATAAACATATTGTTGTACCAGAAATAACATTTTAGAATATTTTGTTTTTATTCAATACATNTCGTATAACTTTTTGTAAATATATGGTTGATAATTAAGAAATGAGTCGACACTTTTTTTTATTGAAATTTGACTAACTTTTAAATTTTGTAAAGCTTAAAAATATTCCGAAAATGGCTACAATGAGTAGACTCCGCGAAACTGATAAAAAGCTCAGAACTAAAAAAGGGTTTTAGTTTCTTTCAACATTATATGGTCACCAACCAGTAACGTATCAGTATCACAACCTTACTCTCGCAAACCCTCAAAACCCTAATTAACCCCTCCTTCTTCCCCACCGCCGCTACCATGGCGGAGCTCAAACTCTCCGAGAGCCGCGACCTTACCCGTATCGAACGAGTGGGCGCGCACTCCCACATTCGCGGTCTCGGCCTCGACTCCTCCCTCGAGCCACGCGCCGTCTCCGAGGGCATGGTTGGTCAGACCGCCGCGCGCAAGGCGGCCGGCGTCATCCTACGCATGATTAAAGATGGAAAGATTGCCGGCCGCGCGGTTCTACTCGCCGGCCAGCCCGGCACCGGCAAGACCGCCATCGCCATGGGCATGGCCAAGTCCCTCGGCCTCGAAACCCCCTTTGCCATGATCGCAGCCAGTGAAATCTTCTCCCTCGAGATGTCCAAGACTGAGGCGCTCACCCAGGCCTTCCGTAAGGCCATCGGCGTGCGCATCAAGGAGGAGACCGAGGTTATCGAGGGCGAGGTCGTCGAGGTCCATATCGACCGCCCCGCAGATGCCGGCGCCGCCTCCAAGACCGGGAAACTCACGCTGAAAACCACCGAAATGGAGACCGTTTACGACCTCGGCGCGAAGATGATTGAGGCGCTGGGGAAGGAGAAGGTGACCAGTGGCGATGTTATTGCGATTGATAAGGCCACCGGGAAGATTACCAAGCTCGGGAGGTCCTTTTCTAGGTCAAGGGACTTCGACGCTATGGGGCCGCAGGTGAAGTTCGTGCAGTGCCCTGATGGGGAGTTGCAGAAGAGAAAGGAGGTCGTGCATTGCGTCACCCTTCATGAGATTGATGTTATCAATAGCAGGTTGCTCACATTTCCTTTTTTCTTTTTCCTGGTTTTTCAGAATTTCTTGTTCTGGTTAAATAGTTGTAGTTAGGGTTGGCTATGAACTGAACCAATTTGAAATTTGATCGAAAATCCATTTGTTGAACTTTGTTTATGAACTAAATAAGCTGAACTTGTGTTTAAAATTGAGTTACCTAACTAAAGGAGCTAAATTTGAGTTTTGTATATCCATAGATACATATATGAGTTGTTCACCAGCTTGAATCGAGTCAAGCGATATGGAAAAGAGGTCTCATATTGAGTTAGAGCTGAGCTACGTGCCGAACGAATTCTTATGAAGTTGGGTTAAACTTGACTTGAATCATTTTCAACCCTAGTTAAATTAATGGTTTTATTTCTTTATGTTGTGAAAAATTAAGGGCATATGTGGCTACAATTGCAGTCGCACCCAAAAGCCCAATTCTAATCAAGTTGGGTTCAACTTGACTCACTCATTTTCAACCCAGTCAATATTTTATTTCTTAATGTCGTGAAAAATTAAAGGCAAATGTAGTTACAATTGTTGTTGCAATCGGGTTTTGGATGTGGCCAAGAAAACTCCCTGCTGCCAAAGAAATGATTGATAGNTTTTTTCTCTCTCTTCCATCGTTTTGCAAGTTAGCGTCTCCTCCGTCTTGCACCAGCTTCCGCCACCGTCGCCGTCGCCGTCGCCGTCTACCTCCGCCGCATCCATGCCAACGCCGTACGCTTCTTCTGCCAAGGGCCTGTCGTCCTCCGATCCGATCCTCGACCGCCTCGCCTCCTCCGATGGCGCGGTGAAATTCAGAGCCATCCGCGAGGTGAAGAACCACATAATTGGAAACCGAACAAAGAAGCTCTCCTACATCAAGCTCGGCGCCGTCCCCGCTGTTGCCGCCGCGCTCGCTGACTCCAACCCCAACCTCATTGTCCAGTCTGCCGCCGCGCTCGGAAGCTTCGCCTGCGGCGTAGATGCCGGCGTCCGTGCCGTACTTGACGCCGGAGCTTTTCCGCGCTTGATCGGACTCCTCTCCGCTCCCGACGAGAAGGTTTATTCAATTTTTTAACCGTTTGCAACTGCTTTTTTATACCTTTTTAAAGTTTGTTTTGTCGGAAAATTCATTCCTGCTGTGATCAGTGTGCTATTGGTTTAAGTTTTAGAACGAAAATGAAATGTGGGTTGTATGATTCTTAATTTTGTAAGGTTTTCTTCGTCGTAATCCAATAGAGCTAAAAATTATAATCCTGGTTGTGACAGTTTTATTTCGTTTTGAGTTAGTTAATCTTTCTGCCAACATCTTTGGAATTCAATTACCTTTTCTGAAGATTAATTGTAGTTTTGATAATATAGTTTATGCTTCCTAGTTCTTGTTCACTGCTATAAATTTTTTATTATTTTATATGTTTATCTGCTCCGGCCGAATATTAAACAAGGATGTTGACTATGAAGTATTCGATGTTTCTGTTTAGTGATGAGTTATAGATGTACTCAATCCTGTTTGTGGGTAGAATTCTTACTGGTATTTGCTACTGTTACGGAATCACGAGGAGTTTCAAAAAGGATCCCCACCGAGGATCGTGCTACGGTAAAATTTGCAGTGATGGGTGCTCCTGATGCCGAAGTTAGTACGCGAGAGAAGTTTAGTTTGTTATTTTCTAGTTTTTGAGCCCTTTACGGAGTTTCCCTGGAGGGAAAAATGAATAAGGCTGTTGAGATGTCTCGTGGCTTACTTGTACGCTCTGCATGTGTTGGTTACAAACTTAACTAGGTTCATAGTATGCCAGTTGATTGGGGTTGGCGTTGTAAATCAGGTTCACTCTGGTGAGAGCAATGCCAGCTTAGAATTCTAGATGTAAAGGTGACTTCCAGAGCAGGTGTGTTACCTGTCTGGTCAGGCGGCCAAGAAGAAGTTTTATATTTCCTTCTCATTGTCTTTGAGATTTAGAATTAGGACAATGTGGAGAGGTAATGGAAAAGGAGAAAAAGATGAAGCAGTGTAGTGATGGCAGTCCTTTGTTGAAAAGATATAAATACGAAATGTTGACTTCATTATTTATGTTTTTTTATGCTATTTTCTTTTGGCATACCATTTAATCACCTGTTCTCTCCGTCTTATCAGGTTCTGGATGCTGCAGCTCGTTCTTTACGAATGATTTATCAATCAAAACTAGCTCCAAAGTATGATTTTTTTCAAGAGGAAAACATGCAATTTCTTCTTTCATTATTGAAAAGTGAGAATGAAAATCTTACTGGGCTAGGTGCAGGCATTGTTATTCATTCTTGCAAGACAAATGGGGAACAAAATATATTATGCCACGCTGGTGTTTTAGAGAAACTCACTAGTCTTCTTGATGGTTCTCTAAGTCAGCGAGATGCTAGTCTAGAGTCATTAGCTGCAATTATTAGAGACAACCCAACAGCTGTCTCTAACTTTGTTGAACTTCGCTGTGGAAGAGCTTTACATTCTGTTACTGAATTAACTAAAGACAAATATCCTCGAACAAGACTACTAGCCTGCTTGTGCTTGATTTCTGTGAAGAATTCTTCGACATGCTATCTCCAAGATATAGGAATCAAAACCAAATTGGTCTACATTTTGCTTGAGCTCCTTGATGATTCTGGTCAAGTTGGGGATGAAGCTTCTTTTGCTTTCTCAAGTTTAATTGCAGAGAAGGAAGATTTGCAGAAGTTAGCGTTTGAGGCAAATGCTATTAATAAGTTCAACTGCCTTTTACAAAAGCATCCCATACAACCTAAAAGGCTTGAAGGGGTACTTCTGGCCTTGGCTGATCTTTGCTCAAAATTGGAGTGCTGCAGGTCTAGTTTTCTTTCGTTGCAGGTCTGTTGCTTGTGTTCATGTTTTTCTTTTTCAACACATGCATTATTATATTCATTACTGCAAAATTGAGACATCAATGAAAAAGCTTCACTTAGTCATTTTTATAGTCATTCATTATAATAGCACCATAGGCGAGGGTGCTTGCAAGGATGAAAGGTATCTGGTGTATGATTGGAGAAATGTTGGACTCTGGTTCACCAATATGTGGTTTTTGACCCCTACCAGTGTTGGATATTTTTTCCTATACTGATACCTCCTTTGGTTACGGGATAGATATATATCCAATCATTATGCATTATCTTTTTATTTAAAAGATAAATATTAAAAAATCAGATACATTGAGATAAAACTGGACTCCCAAATTTTTGAAGATTTATTATTTGCTGATATGGCACTTACTTGTGCAAGTTGTTTATATAATCGAATAATTAAATTTCTTCAAACAATAAACAAGCTCAGTTCCACATGTTTGATATTAAACATAGAGTTTTAAGGGAAATGACGGTGGTCGCACTGGTGTGTTCCTGCACAGAGATGACATAGCGGTTTTTTCCTTTCTTCTTACTTTTAAATTTATCTTTTTTTCTACTGTAGTCTTATACGCTGCGCTAATGTAACCAACAACTGTATTTCATTTTCAAGACTAATATTTTAATATTTATATCAATAAACCTTTTATAACTTTACATTTCTCTTTTATCCTTTTTTGCACTGTGCCAAAATTACCATAAGATGTATTAGAATGTATACTTTTATATTAAAATTTCATCATAATAATGTTAATAAATTTTTATGTTATTATATTAACTACGGTGTGAAATGTATTTCATTGTTATATAATACAATCATACTTTTAATTTTTCCCTGAAGTTATATTGTTATATTTCTCCTAAATCTGTATTGTTACAATTGTTATTTTATTTTTTGTAATTTGTAGAAGTACAAATATATTTTTAATTTAGATGTAGTTATTTGTAATTACTCTTAAAGTATCGTATCCTATATTTTAAAAAATTAACGTATTATTTTAACAAATACATATTGTATCCATTCATCATAGGTTATAGATAATTTGGCAAGATGTGAACTAAGAATCCTGAAACTAATAGATTTGCTAATAAGAATACTTATGTGATTTGTCTTTAATTTTGTGCATGGGTTACTAACAGCTCTATTTTTTTTTTTTTTCATTTTGTCTTGGCACCTGTGTGTTTACATGCAGTTTTTTGCAAGTCTATACGAACTGCATTTGCTTTCTAGAACAATATTAGTTTAACTGAAATAATTTTTAGTTCATTTAGCTCATAATTACCTTTCTACAAATCCTCTGGCCACTTGTATGGGATTTTACATGAAAATATACTTTTGCTGATATTTTTAGATGTAAAAGTATTTCAGCTGAAGCAACTTGTTAGGATGCCAATTTTATTTTTCCTATCATTAATTTGATTGACTACCATGCAAGTTGCAACCAAATAATTAATTTTGACATTGTAACCAGGAGTCTGCCATAAACAACAAAATCTTATCCCACCAGGGTGAATTCCAAAATCTGCCATAAAGATGCAAGTTTTTGCACCCGTATAAATGGATTGTTGACAAAGTGTTGTGCTGACCCCTTTAATTAGTTATCTGTGTTGCTGGTTTTGGACATTTAGTGTTGTCTAAAGATGTTCTATACCACCCCATGTTCCCATTTATGAACATGTTTGAGTCACTACTAAGCTGCATTTCTTCCTGATAGATTACTGAAGCCAATTCTGGTGTTTCTTCTCATTTTCAATGGATGAAGTTATAATAAAGCTTGCACTAGTACATAATGGTTTAAAATCCCAAGTCCACTTTCAACTTCTAATACACTTTGTGTTACAGGTCTTGAACCTAGTAATTGATGCCTTAACTCATGAGGATGCCAGGGTACGCACTGCAGCTTGCATTTGCTTGAGAAGTGTTTCTCGCTCAATCAAGGTATGTAACATGAAATGACGTCTGGCACTTGAAGTGTATTATACTAGTGCTATGTACAGTTTAATTCTCATAAAACTGTGTTCAGAATTTGAGTGCAGGTCGTTTTATGAATGAAAGGGTTGTTTTTCCTTTGGTTCGGCTTCTCTCTGATCTTTCTACTTCTGTCCAGGTATTTTGGATGTATCTGTAATTTTCATTTCTCATTATGCCATGTTGAGTAGTTTCTAAATTCAGAAAAGGAACATCTTGCATAAAGGTGGGTGCTGATGAAAAAAAAAACAACAAAGGAGGAACTTCTAAAATTTGAAAATTGAGGGATACATAGCAAACGAAAGATTGAATATCCATTTGTTACTTGTAAATTTAGCTATGTCTATGGTATTGCAATGAGAATTCTGATGCTTTCCTCCATTGATCTAAATTTGAAACATATATTTTCCATACATTATAAAAAGCGGTTACTTGAAACACTGCCGTTGATTGACAAATTCAGATGATTTAGGACTGAAATGGTTATGTCTCACATTAAATAAGGTTGTCTCAGGGGGATAATGTGTTGATGATCATATTATAAGATTACATGCTATTTCACCCATTCTGTATCATGGTCTTGCACGATATGGGGTTATCACTAGGGCTATAATATTTGTTGGGAAGCTTACCTTTAATTAGACTCAAGTCATAGTCTTGTTCCCCCTAAGACTTTTTTGTTGGCAAAAAATATTCTGATTAATTGTAATTAAACAGATGTGGCCTTATAAATTTTGTTGAAGCTTAGTAAGGTGATCCTTTTCTGTTTTATGTTCCAGGTTGCAGCCCTTGGTGCCATCAGCAATATAGTGGTTGACTTCTTGCCACATAAATCAATATTCGTACAATGTGGGGGCGTTAAAGAGCTTGTGCAATTGACCAAGTCAATGGATTCGTCCTTAAGATTAAATGCTGTATGGGCATTGAGGAACATGGTATTCCTTGCAGACACGATATGCAAAGAAGGAGTTTTTGTGGAGTTAACAGCATCTTCAATGGCTAGCCTTATTTGTGGTATTTATTGGCACTTCAGGTTTTTACTGTTATATTGGTAACTATTTCCAAATAAGTTGACCTTGATTGTGAATACCTTGCAGATCCTGAACCTTCTGTTCAAGAACAAGCTCTGGCCCTTGTTCGCAATTTTGTTGATGGATGTCTGTACTCTGTTGAGCATGCTTTTGCTGAAGATGGTATCATACTGGATGCTGTTGGAAGACAGTTACAAAAGTCTTCTAAAATTGAAATTGGGATACAGGTTGGAAGTAGTTACTGAAATTAATTATCATAGATTTCCACACTTTATAATCGATCTCGAGCTGTTTATCTATTACATGCCTTTTGGTTTTATTTTCCATGCAGGGGATGTATATTCTCAGTAATATTGCAAGTGGCAATGAGTTTCATAAGGAAGCAGTTATGCAGCTACTCTTCCCTCAAGACGAGAACGGGTCTCACTCTTTCTTTGAGCAGTTTTTGCATAGTCCTGACAGTCGCTTACGCACAGCTGCAGTGTGGGTTGTAATAAACCTCACTTTTCCTTCTAGTCCTGGTGCATTTGGTCGGATTGTAAATCTACGTAGTTTTGGCATTGTTTCTCGAATAAAAAAGATGGTCAATGATTCTTGCATGGATGTGAAGGTCCTTTAATCTTTATCCTGAATTTTTTTATGTTCTGCAGTGTTAAGTAGTTGATTTGTAAATGTTCTTCTGTCGATGCAGCTTCGAGCGAGACTTGCACTTGGACAGATTATTACTTTTGGTGATAGTTAAGTGCATTGAAGTCCACTTTACCAAGTCCTTTGGCCAAGAACAAAGTGGATAAAAGGGATGTTGATAGAATTTATTTCTCATATGTTCTTTATTATACAATGTAGTCTCCAGCCTTCTGCATCAGCTTTCAATATGGTATGTTTCAATTAATGGTCTACAATTTTTTCTCCTTACACTAACATTGTTTGCCATACCTGGCACCAATTTACTATTATTAAGTATATCCCAAGTTTCTTGACTAGAAGATGGTACTGCTTTCTAATGTATCAAATTGCATTTCTTTTTCTTTTTATTTCCTTTGCAGGTGTATCAATATGCTTTAGTTTATCTTTGAGTAAGCTCCTAAGTTGGTCTCCCATAGACTCGTGTGACCTCATAAGCTGTCCAAAGATTTTTGTCCAGTGTATTCCCTCAGAAGACCCAAAATGTCACATAATAAATTGGGATACATAAAAGATTAATTGGGGGACAGGTATCTTTAGAGGACTAATGTGGTAACACATTTAATCTTTTGAGAAAACCAGTGTAAGGGTTTGCTATTTCTTCTAACCAGTCAGGGCAGTGTCAGAGCTTTGTGGTTCTGTAAGCACTCTTGGCCAGGTTACCCTCAAAATCTCTTTTTTCTTTCTTGTGCACGATATGTATTACTTTTTTTTGTAAATCAGGTGATCATAGACTCATAGTAGATTTACAGGCTTTAGTGTTGTAAGATATGAGTAGTAAATGGCAATTAGAACCGAGTTCAATTTAATTTTGGTTATATTTGCAAATAGTATAATTGTCTGTGTCTATGTTTCTGGCATTCATGTATCCCTTGTAATTTTCATTTTCTAGGTTTTAGTTATGAATTCCTTGATCTTTAGTTAATAAAGTTCATGAATGTTACATGCCAATATTTTGTATGAGAACAATTTTTAAAGGAAGTTTATTCTCATTTTCAAAATATTGTCAATTTAGAAAGAAAAATTCATAAATATTTATGGGGGATGACCATGACTATGGTGATGGTGATCACGATTCATGGTGGTAGTGGCTATATTTGGTGAGGATGCAAGGACAAGTTATGATCGGTAAGTGTTTTTTTTTTATTATTACATTTAGGAATTCTGTTCTTGAAAATTGAAAAAAGGGCGCCCACCCAAGCTCTCCATCCATTTGAGGACGTTTTACAGTCCAAAAAGCTTAACAATATTTCTCGATTATGTTGTGTTGAGCATTTTTGGTCAGCTTCATGGACATGTCATTTACAGATGCAGATAACAAATTGACCATTGATTTTGAGGATAAAACCTCTTTTCCAGCCACTGCCAAAGATGAAGAATGAGCAACTTTGTTCATTCATCTTTCTCTTCCGTGGTCTTCATGTTGTTCCAAAATGCATATTCATAGGACTTTTAATACCCAGAATTAGCTTCCTGGAATGGTTGTCTGAAAACGGTTGTATTTTTAGTCTCTTTTTCCTTTTTTTCTTTCTTTCTTGATAGCTTCATCTTCTTTCTATGATCTAATTTGTTCTTAATTCATTAACACGAACTGAATTACAAAAAAGTACCAAATTTTTACATGGTGAAATTAATTACTCTGGTTTATAGAAGTGGTACTCTCTCCCATTTTCCATGACGTTAGTTACAAATAATTACTATAATAGATTTATTTATGGTCCATCAGTGATAGTCAATGGTATGGATTGGGATATCATGGAAAAAACATGTTCAATTTGACATTAGAATTTATACTATTGTTTAAAAGAACCTCTTAGACGGTTTTAGAAACTTGAAAAGTTTAGACCAGAAATGTCTTATAAATGTTGACGAAACAGACTCATCCTGCCATATTGGGCACATGCCAGAGGATAGTCACTTGAAGCTTTTAGTATGGATGAGATTCATTTTTAGAACTTTGTATTAATGTATGAAAGTTCTCATACTTATTTGGAGGGTCCAATATCTCCCGAAGTCTATTTCAGAAAACAAATATATAGAGAGAATGTCTATGTATGAATCACAGATTTTTTTATTCACATATCTGAAAAAATAAAATTTATCGGGAAACTTGAAATTTGTTATATTTCTTCCTTTTCGTGACATTTAGGAGTTGTATTTGTATAGTTCAAATATACTATCATCTTATAATATTTGTAATAGAACACTTTTGGTTTTAGATTTCACAGGATTAAATATTACTCTGTTCGAACAACACCTAAATCACCTCGTGAAGGAATTTTTGTTTTTTAAATTCTATTCTACTTTAAAGTATTTTTAATATATTTACCACGTCAAAGGGTTGATGAACCGTAGAATGTTTAAGACATACTAAAAATATTGCTATTCTAAAAATTTAATTTCTCTCTTATAAACTAGAATTATTTAGAAGGCAAACAGTTTTTGAAAAATAAATGCTATGCTTAATATCTATAATGTATGTATAATTATAAATTTAATAAAAAAACAAAATAAATGTAATTACTTAAACAGATAAAAACTCTTATGCGATAAAAAAATATAACAGTACAGAACCATTCGTTTTATTTAATGCAAATATTGAAAATAATAAAATTAAAAACAAATGTTTAAAGTTTAAATGAAAAAAAAA